TGGTACTCGAATTCATTTATGATCTCGAGTTTCCAGACACATTGCACTCTCGCTCAAGTCAAGGTTTCCACTCCGTCCTAAGAGGATAAAAAAAGAGTACGGAACCTTTCACTAGTTTTTGAAATTTGATATCACGAAGTATTTTCACGACATCGGCTCATCCCAATCTTTAACAAAAGTGACCGACAATCCCAAATTCTTTTACCATGTTCAAAAAGTTTTTTCTGCCGGACAACTTGTAGAAAAACTTTAGAAAATAATGAGAGGAAATATAAATGTTTAAGGAGGTGCGAGCTTATATTACTTTTGCGGTGATTAAGATTAATTATTTGCTATGTGCTCGTTGTTTTTTAGAATTTAACAGTGATTTAATACAATAGAAATCTAAAGAGCATTAAAAAGAGCACCTCTTTAATATTTAGTGGGCTATATCCAAAACAATATACAAGAATTTTAGAAGGACAAAACATTATTTTTTTTGCTCAAAAAGTTTAGGTGCAACTAAAGATGGAGTACCTTTCAAGTTTTAATCATGGATGTTTTTAATTATATGAGGATATTTTTCTAGCTAAGCATTTGTTCCATTGGATCTTGAAACTGACATAGCATAATTTCGTACAATGAAATTTCTGTGTATTTCAAGAAAGCTAGAACAGGATAAGGTATAAATTAATAATGAACATTACTCTTGAAAATCACCAACAAAAAGAGAATCTTATGCTTGAAGAGTAATATTTCTCACTCTTTTTTTGGGGGGTCAATCAATAAATTCCAACCCTCTTAATTGTTCTGTTTAACATAAACTCAAATCAGAGAGCTTGGTGTCTATCTACATTGCCTTCTTCAGTTTCTTGAAGAAGGCCATGGGAAGTGAAAGATAAAATGCAGTTCGGTACACAAAATATCTCGTATTCACGTTGGATTCGGGGAAGGGTCGCACCTCAAAAAGTGTGATATAGACAACCTACCCTAAATAGAAGCATTAGTGGATGCTTCCACGCTCGAACTCATGACCTATAGGTCACACTGAAATAAGTTTACCGTTGTTTCAACCGTTGTTTCAAAGCTCCCTTGAGTCATTGGAAAGAAGTGAAAGATACAATATAAAATTCAAAATAAACTCCCTTCTTCGCATGATGGGTAAAAGTCAATCCTTGTGATAACTGATCAATTCCATAAGTGTTACAGATACTACTGGATTTTCAACATTGCACGTTAAAAAGTGCTGCCAAATTTACTTTTTCGAAGATTTTCCTTGAATTGATTACCTTCAAGATCCAAATAAGATAAGTTGGTAAGTAGAATAGTATTATTACCAAAAAAAGTATTATTTGTCTTTAGTTATGATTTCTAGGTTGATTTATTAAATGGATCAGCTACTGAGCCAAAAAGAAAAAAGAATTCAGTTTCTTCCTTCTTAATACACTTGCAATACAATCCACAGATTTCTGAATATATAAAGCATATTCTTTCTTAGTTTTGTGTTAATGTGACTGAGCACCACCTAAAACAACATGCATTACATATAAATGTGATTGGCTCTAGGGTAAGTGAGATTGCTGGAAATACATCATCAATCCAATCCTCTATCAGTTTTAACAAAATAATTCCAAAAAGTGCAAATACATACTATTATCGGCGATACCCCGGTATTGACAGGTAAATTCATTGGATAAAATTCACGATTTGAATCGCAGTATTAGGAATTTGAATTTTAATGATTTCCTAATCACTAGTACTTCTTAGTTGAGTCTTTCATAGTTTTATGTTAATGTAACTGATTTGCACATGGCGTTTATTGACCCAGAGAAGGCGTATGACAAGGTTCCTAGGGACGTTCTTTGGAAATGCCTGGAGGCGAAGGGTGTGCCGGTAGCTTACATTAGAGTGATAAAGGATACGTATGATGGAGCTAAGACTCGGGTTAGGACTGTGGGAGGTGACTCAGCCTTTTTCGGTGGTTATGGGGTTACACCAAGGATTTGCGCTCAGCCCGTTCTTATTTGCCCTGGCGATGGACGCCCTAACACACCATATTCAAGGGAGGTGCCATGGTGTATGTTATAAGATGATAATATAGTTCTGATCGATGAGACGCACGGTGACGTTAATGAGAGACTGGAGGTATGGAGGCAAGCCCTGGAGTCCAAAGGTTTCAAGTTAAGTAGAACTAAGATGGAATACCTGGAGTGTAAGTTCAGTGGCGTGACGGGGGAAGCGGATGTAGAAGTGAGGCTCAACTCGCCAAGAGAGAAAGTTTCAAGTACCTAGGGTCAATTATTCAGGTAAACGGGGAGTTCGACGAGGATGTCACACACCGTGTTGGGGTGGGGTAGATGAAATGAAGGTTAGCGTCTGGAATTATGTGTGACAAGAATGTGCCAATAAAATTTAAAGGTAAGTTCTATAGAGCGGTGGTTAGACTGGCTATGTTGTATGGGGCTGAGTGTTGGCCAGTCAAGAATGCATATATCCAGAAGATGAAAGTATTAGAGATAAGGATGTTGAGGTGGATGCACATGCATATGAGACTGGATAAGATTAAGAATGAAGATATTCGGGAAAGGGTGGGCGTTGCTCCCATGGACGACAAGATGGGGGAAGCGAGGTTTAGATGGTTCGGGCACGTGAGGTGGAGAAGCCCAGATGTCTCGGTTAGGAGGTATGAGCGGTTGGCTTTGGCAGGTACGAGAAGAGGTAAAAGGCAGCCTAAGAAGTATTGGGGCGAGGTGATCAGGCAGGACATGACGCGACTTCAGATTTCTGAGGACATGACTTTTGGTAAGAATGTTTGGAGGTCGAGCATTAGGGTTGTAGGTTAGGGGGTAGTCAAGCGTTTTTTCTCTTTGTACCGGTTAGTCTGATAGAATTTTGTTTAGGAATGCTAGCGGGTTATGTTGTGTGAACACTGTTTTTCTCGTTTTGCATAGTATTGGGTTATTACTCTTCCACTTATTTGTTGTCTCGTTCGATTGCTGAGTATTATTTTTTGTTTTTTTTTGTTGTTACAGATTTATTCTTTTGTTTTTTTCTGATATTATTGTCTCGTCTATTGAGCTGAGGGTCTCCCGGAAATAGCCTCCCTACCTCCTTGGGTAGGGATAAAGTGTGCGTACTCTCTACCCTTTCCAGATCATACTAGTGGAATTCTACTGGGTTGTTGTTGGTTTTGTTGTTGTGTTAATGTGGCTGATAAGTTGATCAGATAAGGGGAGAAAAAAGAGTGCACCAAAAGAGAAAGCCAAAACAGGGAATGCTAAGAAGTTAGGAAACAAAGAAAAGAAAAACCCATGTTTCTTACATGTGAGTAATGTCCCCTTCCCATGTGCATTTATGTTCTCCTTCCAATGGCCCCATTTCCTCCCTTTAGTTCTTTATCTCTGATCAGAAAATTCACAACCTCTAATATTGTTCAAGCTTATATTATTTCAGAGTCATAACTTGGAGATTGGGCCCTTCACTTTTTCACTTTTTAGGAATACCTTTTCTCTTAAAAGTTGTGTGCCTTTGGGCCTACTTTTTGTCATTTAATATATATGATTCATTTAAGACTCAAATTCCTTTGTTTTAGGCATAAATTTGATTAAAACTTAAAAAAAAGAATTTATGAAGTTCTGTTAAAAATAGTTTTTAGAGTTGAATTTATGTTTGTATATATATTTTACTTGAAAATAAGCTGAAGTATTGTGAGTGAAAGAAAAAAACTGGCCAGTTTTTTGGAACTTGAAAATTTTTCTTCAAACTTTTTTCATAAATTGATCAAATTCCTTTATTTTAAGCTAGCGCTTGGACATAAATTTGATTTAAACTTGAAAAAATATTTTTTGAAGTTGTGTTGAAAATAATTTTTGAAAGTTAACGTTGTGTTTCTATATGCATTTTACTTAAAAATAAGTTGAACTTTTGTGAGTGGAAGAAAAAATTTCATAAATCAATTTTCGGAACTTGATTTTTTTTCTTTCAAAAATTGATCAAATTCATGAACAAACAATATTTTTATTTTTAAAAAGTGAAAAATCCTATATCCAAACGGGAGCTATGCCATGTAATTTTTTTCTTTTAAATTTCTGTTTTTTTTTTCTTTTTTCTCTTAGTTAGTCAAAGGTATAAGAACAAGATGGTTGCTTTTGGGGTTCACTCAGTCAGTTCAATCCGAAGAAATAGTGACTTGGAAATCACCCGAAGTGTTCATCTTTTTTGACACAAACTGGTTGACAGCTCAATCATTTGGCAAACTTGGATTATAAATCTTTAGATTGATTTCTTTAACCAATTTGGACTTAGATTTTTTTCTGCCCATTTCAAACTGAGCCTTTTTATCCCAACTCCAGTCAGTCAGTTGGGTGGGTTGGGCTGGCGTGGAGCCCAGACGAAAAAAATCATGAAAATTAATTACTTGAACAAAAATAAAAAAAGGTAGAACATTAAACTAAATTAAAGGAACGCAAAAGAATTTTTTAACTTGTGCTTTTGTCAATTGATTGTTTGTTCATTGAAAGATCCTGATTTTCTGTTTGTACGTAGTGGATTGTGTCTCCCTATTTGATCAAAAATTTATTTGTTCAATTTTTTTTCTGATTCTGTTTATGCTAAATCATCATAGAACGTTTTCAGCAAACATTGAAAATAGGAGTTGATAATATATTGTTGAACCAAAGCGGTGAAAAAATAATAATTTTGTTAGTTCTTGCTCAAGAAATTGGATAAAGAATTACTTGTTGTAATTAGACGAATTACTTGAGTAATTGGAATAGTTTCCTTTAAAATTCTTTTTGAAGTGCCAATCAGCTGCCCGCTTAGGGCTCGACTCTAGCGTGAGTTGGATTGGTCCATTATAATAACAGGTAGCTACACCGCTATTTAAAACATATTTAACTTTTAAAAATTATTGTAATTTATTTATATGCCAAACAAAACTAATACTAATTTTTTTTGTTATAGCTTTATATAAAATATTAAACAAGAAACAAAATTAAAGATATTTTGATACGTGCGTGCCTTTCATCGTTTGAAATAGGCCTTAGCAAGAAATTCGGACTGTCTCTATTTAAGGAGGAATTTCTTCAGCCAAAGAGCAGAGCGTTTGGGATATCTCTTTAGATTGTCCTTATAATCAACATAATTAAGGCCAAATTTTTGAGTGTATCCTGAGGTCCATTCGAAATTATCCAGAAACGACCATGCAAAATAGCCCTTGACGTCCACACCTCTCCTGTGAGAAATTAATAACAACTAGTATTAGTACCCGCGTACTGTGCGGACACAAATCATGTCAAATTATGATGTAGGCTATTTGAATCATGTGTAAATAACTTTAAAATATAAACCACTCAAATAAAAATTATATAACATTAGATATTAATTATGAAGCAGGATATGAAATTATTGTTCAAATCTCGTAGTGGACAACCTATTTTTTATATATATGCAGCAACCTAACCCCTTGATTTTAGTACTTGCATTTCGTTTCGCTGTCAATATTAAAGAATACTAAATATGTCATGTTGTGATCTGTCTTGTTTGAGCACATTAGATCATATTATTTTAACGAAACTCTTACGTATCACTTTGTTTTTATCTGAAAGTCAAATATGTCTTATTCATCACATCTTTTTTTAAGCAAATGATTTTTCTTTTTGTTCTTTATAGTTATTGTATTATTTATTATTTAATATTATTATACTATCAAATATTTTTTTATTAGCTTAATAACTAAATTAATGGCTTGCTTATTATCCTTTTAATAGTCTTTAATAAATATAAATATTTTATTCTTGAAATTTGGTATATTTTCATGCTTGTATCCTCTTATTCGAAATTTTTTAATCATTTAAATTTATCAGTAATATTTTTTAAATATAATTTAATTATTTAATTTATTTATTTTTAAATTAATTTAAAGTATAAGTATCCTCACACTACCTCTATTTTTTTTTATACATTTTCTTCCCTACTATAAATTTTAATTAGTTTTTATATTAATGTTTTATCTATAATCAAAATAATATTATATTTTATTTTAAATTGAACTTTGAATTGGTCTAAAATATTAATACATAAGTTATTTGATTATTATGTTCCAAATGTATTGAGTTCTCTTATAATTATTTTTGTATTAAATGCAGTTAACTTTTCTTTCTTTTTTAGCTTTAAGATACAAATTTAATTTTTAATTTTCATTAGTAAATTACCTATATTAGAAATTTATTATGTATTTTTAAAATTTTTATTTTAGTCATAGAAAAATATTTTCTCAATTGTTTGAACACATTATATCTAAATATTGTAGTAATGTTTTTACTGTCATTTTATTTCTTTTCATAATATTTTCAAAAATAAAAAATTTATTAAATAAAAAAAATCTCATCTCAAATTCAAATAATTCTTATCATTCTATTTTCTAAATTGGACCGCATTTTCAAAAATAATTATGCTATACTTGCTAACTTAAACTAACTGCACTCAATTCAGATGTTAATCATAGAAAAATATTTTCTTAATTGTTTGAATACATTATATTTAAATATTGTAGAAATATTTTCACTGTCATTTTATTTCTTTACGTAAATTTTCTTTCCTTTTTAGTTTTAATATACAAATTTAATTTTTAATTTTCATTAGTAAAATCACCTATATTAGAAATTTATTTTTGTATTTTTAAAATTGTATTTTTTATTAGTTTTCTTAAATAAGACTTCAACTTTGTGATATTAATCATAGGCTAAGCATTCTCATCATAGTTTTAAGAAATGTCTAATCTCAAATTCAAATAGACTTTCCCTTTCATTTCTAATAGTATATTTTTAGTAATTTAACATGATTTTGCTATTTTTTAATCTAATATATAGTCTTGGCTTTTCATCAACTTGTAACTTTATTTAATATCATTATCAACTATTATTCTTTAATATAATATAGATAAATATATAATTATTTTAATCATAAAATAAATATTTATTTCGTTTTAAAAATATTGATCGGAAATTTAAATTATTTATATTTTAATAATATTTTTATGTATTTTATATTTTCTTTATTTTATTTTCTAAACTTATAATTTATAAATATCCTCAAATTATCTCTAATTTATTTTTATTATTCAATATTTTTAATTTTTGATTTTATCTATTAGACTTGAGTTACATGGACTCATCCATATTATGACTTTTCTTATCATAATATAAAAAACTTTCTCATCTCAAATTTAAATAATTTTTACCTTTTTTTCTATGATAAAAAATCTGAATTTATATTTTCCCCCAATTTATTCTTTATTTTTGATATTATATTATTCAATACCTAATGTTATTACATTGTTTGAATTTACTACCTATTTTTACGACACTCATTCTAATATAATATAGATAAAAATTGAAAACCATTCTCTTCTCAAATTCAAATAATATTTATCATTCTATTTTTTAAATTGGACCGCATTTTCAAAAATTAAGTTATGCTTTCAAACTTAAACTAACTGCACTCAATTCAAATACTAATCAAAGAAAAATATTTTCTTAATTATTTGAACACATTATGTCTAAATGTTGTAGTAATATTTACGTATAAAATATTTATTTGCCCGATTTATCAATATTAATATGACTTTATTATTCTTGTTATTAAAATATTTTGTACTGATTATTAATTTTTTTCTTACCTTATAAATATTTTGTATACTTTATGTAAGATCTTATTTTGCTGCTTGGATTTATTTAATTTTTAAACTCAATAAATATTTAATATCTTAAGTAAATTATAGTTTAACTTACTCCAAAGTATAAATAGTAATAGATTTACGTCTTTCTATTATTTTTATTTTTTTCTATTATAGTTTGTTAATTAATTTTTTACCTCCATATTTCTAGCTAATATAAAAGAAAATCTATGAGTGGATCAATATGTAGATATAGATATAGATATAGATACAAATATACATATACATATAGATATATAGATTAGATTTGTCTAATATTTATTTAGATTATGTATAAGATTCATTAAACTACTTCAATTAATTATGCTTCCATTTATAATTTTTAATTATTAATGTTATCCTAAAATTGCCAAGTGGCTTCATTTTAGCTTACCATTTGGCTTAACCACAATGCATACTACCCTTCTTTTAATATAACTAGTATTAGAACCCTCGCGATGCGCAGTAACTATTAAATGAAATTAATTATAACAAATTATTTTGTTTGTTTGAACACATTAAATCTAATTATTTCAATAAAGTTGCATAATCAAGCATTTATAAATTCAATTATATTTAATAATAACACATTTATTTATATTCGCTTCTAGTTGCAAAGTCAATCATCTTGTAATTTTAGTTAAGCAAACAATTCTTCTAAGTTCCAACCATGCGCCATGTTGTAATCAACACAACCCAATTAACCTAATTTGTTTTTCTTTTTAATTAATTAAAATCAAAGAGATTTTATTTTCTAGTCCTGTAAGAGCGTCGAGACTTTGGTAGGGACTTCCAATTTTCTTCTTTTCATGATAATATCTTTCTCTACTACTCATATGACTGCAAAGAATATGCCAAACATATAAATTATGATTAATAGCTTTCTATATAGCGGCTGGTTTACATATTTAAATAATTTCTATTTTTAAAATTTTGGAAGTCTCTTAAAAACATGCATTTTAGAGGTAATTTGTTTTGCTCTACACACATTCAAGAACCATTTAGAAGAAAATTCACTCATGCCTGGTCTTAAAATCTCTATGATATAATATGTAAAATAATATTTAGCGCTTTATTGTCTGCAACTTCAAATGGAAAAACTCTCTTCTCGTGAAACCTTCTTTAAGCAAATAATATAACACACTCGATTTTAAGTTCTTTAATTTGTGTCACCCAATCCATCATTATCGTCATCTCGCTTACATATATGGTTAAGATGTGATTTAAGATTTTTACTTTGCAAACCTATTTAAGAAATACAGTCCAACAATCCTAACCGTTTCAACATGACATAACTAAGTTTAACCGTAAAAAAGAGCCTCAAAACTATTTCAAGGAACAAAAATATATTTTGCCATAATAAACGATGTCCAGACTACAACCAATATTTCTTTTGTATAACTTATTTCCTTTGTTGGCCGACGCTAAAATGCTTTTGCTAGTTTACACAATAGTGGACTCATATGATTCAACCGACTACCAAGTATGATGTGGTTCTATATAAGAAACAGAGAATACTTCATTCCTTTTAAACACCTTCCAACAATAATGAGGATAGTTAAGTAATTATTTCACTTAAATTCATTAGATAAAATCATTAACTAGTGGAGCAAGATAGTTTTGTTTTAGATATTAGCAAAAAGAAAAGGAAAGACAAAATTATATTTGTGAAGGATAGACTTACTTAATGGCTGTGTTGAGGGCCATGAGATGGCGACGTAGGAAATCCACCCTTTGAAAGTCTTTGATTCCTTCTTGAACCATTCTTACATTGCCATCACTCATCCCTATTGATAATTAAACAAATAACATTTCAATTTCTACTAAAATAATCCGGCAAAATTAATTTAGTTAAGACAGTTGTGAAAATTAATTTCTTATCATACCGTTCTCTGTTATGTAAATCTTTGGATTGTTATACTTTTCTTTTGTGTAGACAAGAACTTCTAAAAGTCCTCTTGGGACAACAAAAAAAAAGGCCGATCCTGTCTACATCCCAAGATGAAGAGGAAAAAGAAAAAGACAAACGTAATATTATTAAACCATTAAATAAAATATATGGCAATTTCTTTATCATGAAAAAGAATGAAGACGTGCCGGTTCACCGATGAGCTCTCCATTTCTTTCCACTACAAAAGAGAGAAAACAACAAAAGATAAAAAATGTTATATAGAATTTTGTGTCTAATAAAAACCTATAAAACAATAAGATGAAAAATTAGAGGTGGAGAATCTGTATATTGGTTCACAAATTAAAGTCTTAGAGAAATTAACCTGTTTGATTTACTTGGTAATCTGTTGAGTAGCTAATGTTCTCTTTACTTGGAGTAAATATATTATCTGCTACATAAAATGATGTGTAGTAATTTAGTCCCATGAAATCACAGGATCCCTTCACTATCTCAGCTTGCTCGGTTGTGAATTTTGGTAAACGATTTCCTACGATTTTGCACATTCTTTCTGGATAATCACCATATGTTAATGGATGCATAAACCTGAAAAAAAGAACATGTAAATCAACTTTTAAACAATTAAATTAAAGATCTCTTCTATTATCACTAATATAATGCAGAAATCAAATCGACTTTATAGCTTTTGTGTCTAGTGTGATATAAAATGAGAGTATTAATTATGGAAAGTGTACTCACCATCCAATGGAGAAGTCAATGGCTCGTTGAGCTGCTTCTAAATCTTTCTTCATTTTGGAATAGGGCTCAAACCAACTAGCCACTAGTACTATTCCTATCTCCCCTTTTTGTGATGCCTGCATAATTTCTCAAAAATATTTCTTAGATTTCAAGCAGATAAAATAATTTCCAATGGTGACATTATTCTCATAGAAATGACTAGTTGCATTGTTTTTTTAAAGAATATTCATATTTCCCCCTTTTCAGTTTATACTCTTAATGAAAAGTTTTTTATATTCACAGAAATGTTATAGCATGTTAAAAATCAAATTTTCAAAAGTTTTATAGTCACACAAATATTATGATTATTGTTGAAATTGTCAAAAGTTCCACATCGGTGGATGACAATTTTGAATGGGAATTTCACCCTATAAAAGGAGGCCTAATGTTTAGGATTTAAACACACCTCTCATTTGCCTTTTTTTATCTTCTTAAGGCATTTGTATCTTCTCTCTTTAGTATTATTTCACTTGTAATTTTGGAGTGGAATAAAATATTGATTGTGTCCGAGGAAGTAGGCAAAATTGGCCGAACCTCGTAAATTCTGGTGTTCTTTTATCGTTGTCTTATATTGTCTTGTTTATTATTTAGTGGTTGTCATAATTTTTGGTATAGTAGTTGTGACTCATTCACACTATATACATTTGGCTTCCGCAACAATTGGTATCAGAGCCAGGTTACTGTCTAAGTATGCTCTGTGATTGCAGCATAGTCTGATCTTCCACATCAGAAAAGATCTATCTTGGTAACTGAGTCAAGGTTCTGTCTGAGTATGCTCTGTGGTTGCAGCTTAGTCTGATCTTCCACACCAGAAAGGAAATAATCTTGATTTGTGTCGTCAGCTACTAAATAATATTTGTGTCAAAATGGAAGACAATAAACAAGAAGAATCTACATCAAGTGTCAATAATACGTCATCGTTGGCATCTTCGCTTATGACAAGAATTGTGTCAAATGCGAAATTTGCGGTAGAAATTTTTGACGGGTCAGGACATTTTGGGATGTGGCAAGGCGAGGTTCTAGATGTTCTTTTTCAACAAGGGCTAGATCTTGCCATTGTAAAAAAGAAGCCAGATGTTATTGGAGAAGAAGATTGAAAAATTATCAATCGTGTTGCTTGCGGTACCATTCGATCCTACCTTGCTAGAGAGCAGAAATATNTATGGCATGCCGTAAAGATAGTGTCTCCAAATCTTCAGCGCGTGAACGATGGCTGCCAACTCTAGATCATGAACATGGTAATTCTTCTCGTGAACCTTCAGCTGCCGTGAAGCATATGCAATAAACTTTCCACCCTACATCAATACCGTACCCAGACCAATACGAGATGCGTCATAATATACTGTATAAGATCTTGAACCTGTGGGTAACACCAATACCGGTGCCGTAGTCAAAGCTGTATTGAGCTTCTGAAAGCTCGCTTCACACTCATCTGACCGCCTGAACGGGGTACCCTTCTGGGTCAATCTGGTCAACGGGGCTGCTATGGATGAAAACTCCTCCACAAATCGACGGTAATAGCCCGCTAAACCCAGGAAACTATGGATCTCTATAGCTGATGTGGGTCTAGGCTAGTTCTGGACTGCCTCAATCTTCTTAGGATCCA